AAAGACTCTCGAGAAAGTTGGGATAGAAGGAACCTACTTAAACATCATCAAAGCCATCTATGAGAAGCCTTCAGCTAACATCATCCTCAACGGGGAAAAACTGAGAGCTTTCCCCCTGAGATCAGGAACACGACAGGGATGTCCACTCTCACCACTGTTGTTTAACATAGTGCTGGAAGTCCTAGCATCAGCCATCAGACAACAAAAGGAAATCAAAGGCATCAGAATTGGCAAAGAGGAAGTCAAACTTTCACTCTTCGCAGATGACATGATACTCTACATAGAAAACCCGACAGACTCCACCAGAAGCCTACTAGAACTGATCCAAGAATTCAGCCAAGTTGCAGGGTACAAAATCAACGTACAGAAATCGGTTGCATTTTTATACACCAATAATGAAGCAACAGAAAGAGAAATCAAGAAACTGATCCCATTCACAATTGCACAAAAAACCATAAAATACCTCGGAATAAACCTAACCAAGGATACAAGAGATCTGTATGATGAAAACTATAGAAAACTTATGAAGGAAATTGAAGAAGACACAAAGAAATGGAAAAACATTCCATGCTCATGGATAGGAAGAATAAATATAGTTAAGATGTCATTACTACCTAAAGCACTCTACACATTCAATGCAATTCCAATCAAAATTGCACCAGCATACTTCTCAAAACTAGAACAAACTATCCAAAAATTTGTATGGAACCACAAAAGACCCCGAATAGCCAAAGTAATACTGAAAAATAAAACCAAAACGGGAGGTATCACCATCCCAGACTTCAGCCTCTACTACAAAGCTGTCATCCTCAAGACAGTATGGTATTGGCACAAAAACAGACACATAGACCAATGGAACAGAATTGAGAACTCAGAAGTGGACCCAAAAGTATACAGCCAACTGATCTTTGACAAAGCAGGAAAGAATATCCAATGGAAAAAAGACAGCCTTTTTAACAGATGGTGTTGGGAGAACTGGACAGCAACATGCAGAAGAATGAAACTAGATCATTTTCTCACACCATGCACAAAAATCAACTCAAAATGGATAAAGGACCTGAACGTGAGACAGGAAACTATCAACACCCTAGAGGAGAAAGCAGGAAACAACCTCCTTGACCTCCACCGCAGCAACTTCTTACTTGACACATCCCCAAAAGCAAGGGAATCAAGAGCAAAAATAAACTGTTGGGACCTCATCAAGATTAAAAGCTTCTGCACAGCCAAGGAAACAACCCAGAAAATTAATAGGCAACCAACGGAATGGGAAAAGATAGTTGCAAATGACATATCAGATAAAGGGTTAATATCCAGAATCTATAAGGAACTCACCAAACTACACGCCCGAAAAACAAACAACCCAGTGAAGAAATGGGCAGAAGACATGAACAGACACTTCTCCAAAGAGGACATCCAGATGGCCAACAGACACATGAAACGATGCTCAGCATCCCTCCTCATCAGGGAAATACAAATCAAAACCACACTGAGATACCACCTCACGCCAGTCAGAGTGGCTAAAATGAGCAAATCAGAGAACTCTAGATGCTGGCGAGGATGTGGAGAAACGGGCACCCTCCTACACTGTTGGTGGGAATGTAAACTGGTACAGCCCCTCTGGAAAACAGTGTGGAGGTTCCTCAGGAAACTAACAATAGAACTCCCCTATGACCCAGCAATAGCACTGCTAGGAATTTACCCAAGGGATACAGAAATGCTGAGGCATAGGAGCACATGTACCCCAATGTTCATAGCAGCACTCTCCACAATAGCTAAAACATGGAAAGAGCCTAAGTGTCCATCAACAGATGAATGGATCAAGAAGATGTGGTTTATCTATACCATGGAATACTACATGGCAATGAGAAACAATGAAATCTGGCCATGTGTAGCAACATGGATGGACCTTGAGGGTGTTATGCTGAGCGAAATAAGTCAGGCAGAGAAGGACAAATATCATATGTTTGCACGTATAGGAGGATTAGGAGGAACTTGACGGAGGACCAAGGGGGAGAAGAAGGGCGGAAATGGTGGGGGAAAGGGAGAGAGGCAAACCATGAGAGACTCTTGAATGCTGACAAAAACTGAGGACTGATGGATGTGGGGGGGAGGGGGGGATGGGCATGAAGGAGGGCACTTTGGGGATGAGCACTGAGTGTTATGTAGAAACTAATTTGACAATAAACTATTTGTAAAAAAAAAAAAAAGAAATATGTGGGTTTAGAATCTTTGTGTCCTTTGTAGGGCTCATGTTTGTGGTGGTGTCTGTGGTATCTTTGTTCCTTGCAACCTTTCCTTCAGAGCGTCCCCCTCAGATTTCTTGTAGGGCTGGCTTAGTGGTGACAAATTCTTTCAACTTCTGTTTATTTGGAAAGACTTTTATCTCTCCTTGTATTTTGAATGACAGGCTTGCTGGGTAGAGGATTCTTGGCTGCATATTTTTTCTGTTCATCACATTGAAGATCTCCTGCCATTCCCTTCTGGCCTGCCAAGTTTCAGTAGATAGGTCTGTCACCACTCAGATAGGTTTCTCTTTGCATGTTATGGCCCTTTTCTCCCTAGCTGCTTTCAAAATTCTCTGTTTGTCCTTATATTTTGTCATTTTCAGTATGATATGCCGTGCAGAAGATCGATTCAAAGTACATCTGAGGGGAGTCCTCTGAGCCTCTTGTATTTCAATGTTTACTTCCTTCAGCACCTTTCCCTCTCTCTTCCTCTTCTGGGATTCTTCTGATAAGGATATTTTTGCATTTGACTGTGTCGCTGAGCTCTCGAACTCTTCTTTCATGTTCTGGATCAGTTTGTCTCTTTTTTTGTCAGCTTCTTGTTTTTCTATAATGGTGTCTTCTAAATCACTTATTCTCTTTTCTGCCTCTTCAATCCGTGCATTGGAGGCTTCTAATTTATTATGTATCTCATTTGTCGCATTTTTAAATTCTTCATGCCTATTTTTATTCTCCATGTTGTCTGTAGCCATAGTTTCTTTGATGTCCCCTATACTTTTTTTCCAGCCCAGCTATTATTTTTATAATTATTGTTCTAAAATCTTGTTCAGTTATGTTGATTATATCTGTTTTGATCAGTTCATTAGCTGTCAATTCTTCTTGGAATTTCTTTGGAGGAGAGCTCTTTTGTTTCATCATTTTAGTTAGCTTTCTGGCTCTTGTTAATTTTAAAGAAATGTTATGCTCTCTGCACCTGTAGCGCTGCTGTATCCAAGGAGACTCTTCAACTGACCAGGGCCTATCCTTTCAGAGAGTGTTTTTTGAATGGTATCTCTTGGTCTCTCTTGTTGAGACCTTGGTTATTTTATTTTCTTACACGTAGTGATATTTGGGACTCTCCACAATGTGTACTTTGGCTTGTTTCTTGAGGTAGCTCTGGAGAAGAAGACAGACAGACAAACACACAGGGAGCAGGAGCACACAAACGCACAGACAAATCCAACTAACATGCAAACCGAGAGGGAAAACGAATAAGTTAAGAGAAAAGACGGAGGAGGGAAGGCAAATAATAGAAAATAAAAAAACATAAAATGGTCAAAAGAAGAAAAGAAAAGGAAAAAAGAAGAAAGCCAATGGACAAAGAACGGTTTAAAGCATATAACTGGAATTTCCAGCAACAATTATATAGCTGTGTGTATGCAGTGCTGGTTGAAGAGCATAGAGAAAGAGAAAGAAGACAGGGTGGGGATGAGGCAAAATTGGAAATAGAATGAACAGGCAGAAGGGATAAGAAGCTTTTTTCAAAGAGCTAAAGGGTGGAATATGGTTGGATAGGTGAGAGAAGGATGCTGGTGTTATCCAGAGAAACTATATAGTCTAATTACTTGTGAGAGAAAGAGATGAAGATGTTGGTAGGTGTAGAATTTACATCTACAGAATGGACTAAATGTGACTGTTTAAGCAAGCCGGTGACCAGAGTTAATCAGGTCAGTGTTCCGGGGAAAAGAGAAAAAGAAAAAGAAAAAAGAAAACAAAAAAAAAAAAGGGAGGAGGGCACCTCTCAGGCAGGGATGTGCGTGGCGTGATCCAATTCTTCAGGCGGGAGTTCTGCCTTGGCGGTTGTGGGTAGGAGTGTGTCGGTGCTCCAGTCCCTTCTTGAACCAAGAGCTGCACCTCGCTTTTTTGGGCATGTAAACTCCCCTTACTGGAGGCGCAGACAAAGTTGGTTGCACTCTTCAACTCAGGCCAGTCCCGGTCTCTAAATCCCAGTCCGCGTGCCCTACTGAAATTGCTGTAGACACAACTTCGCCATCGATCCCCTCGGGACAATTCCAAGCCTCCTTCCTAGACCTGGGGGTGGATCCAGAAGTGCTGCTTCCTTCTCTGGGTCCGGCTGTCGAGCATGGGCGGGGGTTTGCCTGCCAGGTGCGCGAAGCCCGCTGGAGTGAGGAAAATCAGGTCCCTATGTGTCTTGTCACCTGACACATGAACTCTCCTGCAAATCTCCCAGTTTTTAGCTCTTTGCCTTCCCTCTAGAGCTCCAGCCCTCCAGGAGCGCGGACGCCCGGTGCCCGAGCGCGGCTCCTCCAGGGGCCCAAGCCCGCAGGGAGGACAATGGTGGCAGGTGTGCCGCTACTCTAGAAGTGCAGCCTCCAGGAGCAGCACAAAGCAGCAGTCTGTGCGCTCAGCCCCTCTGGGACGAGCTGGTGCGCAGGGACCTGGCACGCAGGTATTTGGCGCGCACGGTCTTTCTATGCCCTAGCAGAGGCTTTTCCCGGAGCAGAGGTTTTTCTGTTTTGGACTCTCTCTTTTTCCCCTCTCACTCCCCGCAGAGGGGGATCGCCTCTGACCCTGCAGTCTCTGATCCCGGCCCGGTTTTATCTTCCCCAGTTCGCACTCACGTTAGAAGCCTCTCTCAGTGGATTCTGCATCCTTTTTCTCCCAATCTCTTGGGTTTTGTAAGGTTTCCTATGGCTTCAGATCTTTTCCTTGTGAGGTATGTGCGCGAGTGCAAGTACGGAGCTCCTTACTTCTCCGCCATCTTGCCCCTCTCTGGGGCGCTTCTTATTCGGCTTCACCAACGAAGACCGGGTCAGGGAGCTGGGGACGACCTTCGGCTGCCTGGTGTCCATGGAGGTCAAGTGCGAGCTGCTGCTTTGCACAGCGAGGTCCCGTGAGAGTTGAGCCGTCTTGTCAGAGATGATGTGAGGGAGACCCTGGGCCGTCTCTACGAATCGCAGGAGGAAACGCTGGTGAAGGAAGCGATGGCACAGGTCACCGAAGTGTCGCTGCACCTGAAAGACGCCCCGGACCTCGAGCACGCGTCCTTCTGCCTCAAGCACTGCGAAAACCTGCGGACACTGCGTCTGCGCGTGGAAAAGGGCGTGTTCCTGGACGTCGACAGTGCGTCAAAGTCCGAGGGTCAGGCTGCCTGGTACGGCCCCTCGCTGTGGGCCCCCCCTACCCTCCCCCCCCCCGGCTTCCCACCCTGCTCCCGCTCCCTGTGGCTTAGGCTCAGAACTTTCTTCTGGCCAGAATGTGTCCTGCCAGCTTGCTGTTCAAGGTGTAGGACATGATGATCAGATTAGGGAGGGGATCTTATTTCGTGTCATAGTTTACACATGGGGACATGTCCCTAGACAATCTGGACACTTCACATATTTTCCTTAACAATTCTTTTTAAAAACTTTTTTAAATTAAGTTTTTAATGGTAACTTGTTTTTGAGAGAGACTGTGAGCAAGACGAGGGGCAGAGAAGGAAATACAGAATACAAGGTAGGCTCCAGACTCTGGGCTGTCAGCACAGAGCCCTGCATGGGGCTCGAACCCATGAACTGTAAGATCATGAATCCTAGCTGAAGTTGGACGCTTAACTCACTGAGCCACCCAGGAGTCCCAACAATTCCTTCTCAAAGTAAAGTCACCATACCACACGCCACACCTGCAGGACTTCTGTCTAGAAGTTTGTACCTTTTGACTACTTTTATCCACACCCTGCCCCTGGCAACCACCAATCTGTTCTAGGAGTTCATGTTTGTTTCTTTTAGATTGCATGTATAAGTGAGATCATTCAGTATTTGTCTTTCTGTCTTGCCAGACTTATTTCACTTAGCATAATGCTCCCAAGATCCATCCATGTTGTCACAAATGGTACTTTCTGCTCTTGTGGCTGAATAATATTCCATCGTATATACACATCATATTTTCTTTATTCATCCACCAGTGGACACTTAGGTTGCTTCCACGTTTTGAGGATTGTAAGTAATGGTGCTATGAACGTGGGAGTGCAGAAGTCTTTACAAGTTGGTGATTTCATGCTCTTCAGCAAAATAGCCAGAAATGGGATTCCTGGATCATAATGTAGTTCTATTCTTAAGGTTTCAAGGAACCCTCATACATTTTCCATGGTGACTGCACCAATTTACATTCCCTCCAGCAGAGCGGAAAGATTCCCTTTTCTCTATATCCTCGCCAACACTTATTTCTTGTCTTTTGAGTCTAGCCATTCTGACAGGTGTGAGGGGATATCTCATTGTGGTTTTGATTTGCATTTCCATGATGATAAGCGATGCTGAGCATCATTCCATGTGTCTGATGGGCATCTGGATGTCTTCTTTTGAAAAATGTTCAGGTCCTCTGCCTATTTTTAAGTCTTTTTTTTTTAATTGAGTTGTATGAGTTCTTTATATGTTTTGGATATTAGCTCCTTATCAGATACGTGATTTGCCAATATTTCCTCCCATTCCGTAGGCTGCCTTTTCATTTTGTCAATGGTTTCCTTTGTGGTACAGCCTGCCAGTTCCTGTTACTCTTCCCTTAGGTGCTTTTCCACAGGTGCTCTTGTTCATCCCTTCCTTCCAGGCCACAGTATGACCATCTCTCTCTCCATCTTTGGATGGATTTCTGCTCGGTGTTCAGTTCAAACAAGAGCCTATGCTTTTTGGATGTGAGCCAAAGCTTCTTGAGTCCCTCCTCCGTGAGGATTCTTTGTGAGCAAATCACCCGTGTCACCTGTCATCTCCAGAAAGTGGTGTAAGTAGAAACTATTCCTAAAATGATGGTCCCTAAGCATTTTTAGTGTGGCAGCAGCCTGGAAGCCTGACCAGGCTCTCACTAACCAGATGCTCAGAATACAAACAATTGAAATGGGTCCTAGCGAAATAATTGTATGTTACCTTGAGTTATTTTCAGGAAATTTGCCAAGTGTTTGGAGATTGCCATACATCTGGTTTAAGCATATTTGAAACTCAGCCTATAGGGAATAGAGGTACATGCAGATCAGAAGACCTGGATGGAAATTGGGGGAAATATTCCAGAGAGCACAGTTTTAAATAATGTGAATAAGGACGCGTTGATAAGGCAATGGTGACTATATAACTGGTGTGTGGAATGGGATTGAGAAATGAGTCTGAGGTAGTGAGGTAGGTTGGGGCAGAAGTAAATCCTGATGGGGCCGCTTGGGCAGGTGACTGTTAGGGTACCCTTTAAAACCAATACATGTTCAAGTGATAAGCTTTAGAAGTTGTGTTCAAAATTATAGACAGATACATTGCTGAAACTCCCTACCGCCCCTTTCCCAGACCAACATGCCTTAGAAAGTTTAATTAAGTCACGTGAAATGTTGTGATCTTTACGTGGAGGCAATAGCTATGGCAAACATCAACTGACCGACCTGCTGATGTCAGGAGATAAGTAGCGTGCTTCTCTCAGAATGCCATGGGACTTGAGTGTTCAAAGTAAAGAATCTGACATAAGTTGGTGCCTGGAAAGATGTCAATTTCTTCTATATGGCCCTGAAAGTTTACACTGCTCTGGTTTTATAAGGCATTACATGAAAATACAAGATCAGATGACCCCTGTAACCTGTTCCACTGAGAGTTTTGGACAATGTAAGCAGAGGTTCTGAATCGCTGGCATCCACCTTATTCTTGCACCCTGTGCTGAAAATTTCATTTTGAAGCCTCTTTTGGATAAACTGGAGGGAATGTTCATTATCTAAAAACAAAGGGTCATGGGTTATAAGACCAAGCGTGGGTTTAGGGAGTGTTTTACAACAGGGGGATGGGTTGCCAGGTCTGGAGGTACAAAACCAGGAGAAGACTCTCTAAAGATAGAAGTGTAAATGGCGATCTGAAATACGAGGGTAGGAGAGGCAGTAAGGGTGCGCGTTGAGTCCATCTCAAGTTAGGATGCATTAGCATGCTTCAAAAACAAGCCCTGAAAAGGGAGAGAGGCAAACCACGAGAGACTCTTGAATGCTGACAAAAACTGAGGACTGATGGATGTGGGGGGAGGGGGGATGCGCATGGAGGAGGGCACTCGTGGGCATGAGCACTGGGTGTTATGTGGAAACTAATTTGACAATAAACTATTTGTAAAAAAAAACAAAAACAAAAACAAAAACAAAAAAACAAGCCCTGAGTAAATGCTTTCCACAGTTACTTTCTACTATGCACACAGGATAACTTATGAGCTAGGCTCATGTATAACACGAGGTTGATTAACTCCTACTCTGAAGAAGGTGGCATAGTCCAGGCACCAGAAAAAAAAAACTCTTATTATTCTTTTAATGCTGAATTGTTTCTTGGAGTCCACAGATGGATTTGTTCTACTCCACTTAAGATTTCTTTTAATCCTATTTAAAATTCCACAATCTGTACTTTGGCTATTGTTGATAGGACTGCCCATAAACATTGGGGTGCATGTGCCCCTTTGAATCTGCATTTTTGTAGTCTTTGGATAGATACCTAATAGTTCAATTGCTGGGTTGTAGGGTAACTCTATTTTTAATTTTTTGAGGAGCCTCTATACTGTTCTCCAGAATGGCTGCACCGGTTTGCATTCCCACCAGCAGTCCACAAGGGTTTCCCTTTCTCTGCATCCTTGCCAATGTCTGTTGTTTCCTGATTTGTTAATTTTAGCCATTCTGACAAGCATGGGTTGACTCTTAACGGTCCATATCTTCAAGGAGTCTAATTTATTTACTAATTCCTAAACCATAATGTGCTGCAGCCTTAGTGAAAGCAGCTTTGTGGGAATGCAAACAGCTACTTGGAGTGATAGGAATCCTTTATTCTTGCTAAGGAAAGTCTGTAGACGTTGAAGGGGAGGGGAAGAAGCATGTTAGCTGAAGGAAACACAGTGCAGGACACAAAACACAAGGAGAGACTACTAGGAATTTACCAAAGGGACACAGGAGTGCTGATGCACAGGGGCACATGCACCCCAATGTTCATAGCAGCACTCTCAGCAATAGCCAAATCATAGAAAGAGCCTGAATGTCCATCAACCAATGAATGGATCAAGAAGATGTGGTTTATCTATACAATGGAATACTACTTGGCAATGAGAAGGAATGAAATCATGCCATTTGCAGCAACATGAATGGAACTGGAAGGTATTATGCTGAGTGAAATAAGTCAGTCAGAGAAAGACAGATATCCTATGTTTTCACTGCTATGTGGATCTTGAGAAACTTAACAGAAGACCATGGGGGAGGGGAAGGGGATAAAATAGTTACAGAGAGGGAAGGAGGCAAACCACAAGAGACTCTTTAAATACTGAGAACAAACTGAGGGTGAATGGGGGTAGGGGAGAGGGGAAAATGGGTGATGGACATTGAGGAGGGCACCTGTTGGGATGAGCACGGGGTGTTATATGTAAGACAATAAATTATATTTTTAAAAAAAACACAAGGAGAGGGTATTTCATCTGAACAACAGCATGAGCAAAGACAACAGTGACCAAGTCCTTCAAGAGTCCTTGCTTTTCTTCTTTCCAGCTATCACTCTATTGACTTGCCCTCCTCATCAGCCTTCTTGACCGTCTTCCCCCCCTCCACCTTGACCAGAGACTGCCCACCTCCCTGTGTTCACAGCATTCAAGATAGAATCCCTTTTTGTTTTCCCTAGGATTAGAAATGTGTCCCCTGCTGACGCCTATCGGGACTTGTGTCTAGCTTTCAATAGTAGGAAGACTCTGACATACCTGGTCCTGGAAGGTGGTGTCCGCAATGACAAGCTGCTGCTGCTGCTGCAGCTGCTGAAACACTCCACATGTAATCTGCAGTATCTGAGGTACGCCTCCTGGTTCTTGCTTTTCTCAGCAATGACCGGACGCTGTGCACAGCTACCCGGTGCATCTGGGTGAACTGGAAAGGAGACGGATCTACTCACATTGGATGCCATGTTAAATAGGGGACATAGTCTCAAATAGAGGCAGAAACCCTATCCACATTCTTTCTCCAGCCACTTGTCTTGTGCGACTGCTGAGGGCAAAGAAACACCCAGAATTCTGCATTGTCCTCTAGCTCAGGGACTTGGTATCTTAGATTCCATGTTGCCTACACAGTGTGATTCAACCCTTACTGACCACTCAGTGATACCACAGAAGCATCAAGTGTCCTGGTTGCTGGTATTTCACAGATTTGAGCGATTCCTCAGGGAGCTCCCCTAATGAGGGCTCAGATGATCATCGGCCCCTAGGGATGACGGTTTAGTTGAGTGGCAGCCTGAGGTACTGGCTAGCAGCACAGGTTGTTTTGTTTTGTTTTGTTTTATTTGAGCTCACTTCCAAATCTCATTTTTGGCCTTTAGGATTCTGAGCTGTTTCCTCATCCATAAAATGGGGTTTTGAGCATTGAGGGAAGTAGGACTGTGACCTGCTTTGCATAGGAGCCACACACAAAGGGTAGCTCTTACCATATTGACGATTTTTGATGCTCTTTCTCATTTAATTAGAAAAGAAAATCTGTTACTCTAAAGTTTTGATAAATGATGTTTCTAAGTGGATACACTCCAAAAGGCAAATGGCTGAATCAGAATCTCCTATATTTATGCTCACGTGAGTTGAGACCCTTTACATTCTACCATGTCTGCATTCCAATTACTTAAGTAATGTATAATTTCTTCATCATAGGCTAATCTATGAGGACAGAAAGGTACTAATCTTAAGAACTCGCCATGGGGCGCCAAGGTGGCTCAGTTGGTTAAGCGTCTGACCTTGGTTCAGGTCATGATCTCACGGCTCGCCATGAGTTCAAGCCCCGTGTCAGACCCCGTGCTGACAGGTCAGGCCCTGGAGCCTACTTCTGATTCTGTGTCTCCCTCTCTCAAAATAAAAAAGAAAACATTAAGGAAAAAAACTCTCAATTTTACCTATGACATATATTCTACTGGACACAGGACATGGATGGGTTATATCTTTTAATTTTCCTTGACATGAAGGTATTATCTCTCCCCAAAGCACAGGTAGGGAAAGATACTACAAAGGTTAAGTAACTTGCAAAGATTCTGAACATAGGAGGAGCCAGGACTATGATTCAGGCAAGAGAATTGTCCTAGAGCCATGTACTCTGATCTTCGTGTGCAAGAGGAGCTGGGTTTCGGAGTCCAGTCTAATGGATTTCCTCAGTGTTCTCCAAGCCAGCTGTGCTACATTTGAGCTTGTCTGCCTAAGTGTCAAATTGTGTCTCCTTGTTTTAATTTGTATATCCCCTGGTAATTCATGAAGTTGAACCTTCTGAGTATAAGGCATCAATTTTTTTCCCTATGGAATTGCATATTTAAATCTAAGTGGGATTAGGATAGACACACGTGGGGAACCAGTATAAAAAGTAGAGTTTGAGAAGTAACAGGCCATGTTTAGTGAAACTTCATGCCTAATTGTATTATAGATTTTTTTTCCCTATTAGATGAGGTTGGGTGTTGATCAAATGGCAATGGGATATTTGAAGAAGCAAAGGAGATCAATTCTCATTAATAATTCAGGTCAGGGTTGGGCACGTACTGGAGTAGAATGAAATGGAAATCCAAGATATAGTCTTCCGGGAGGCATAATAAGCTGATGTGACCGCTCTGTCCTCCCAGAAGAACGGCTTTTACCCGTTTATCCCACAGGCTGTGTCTTGTTCTGACACCACTCAACAGTGGGCTGATTTCTCCTTGGCCCTTGAAGCCAACCGGTCCCTGAAATGCCTGGATATCACAGCCAGTGAGCTCCTGGATGAAAGTGCCAGGGTGCTGTGCACGACTCTGAGACACCCCAAGTGCTTCCTGCAGAGGCTGTTGTAAGTACCACCTCTGTTCCCGTGGAGCATCTCCATATTAGGCCTGGGGCAGCAGAGTAAGAGTGATGGTAACACCAGGATCTGCTGGGCCACCCATACGGGACTTCCCACTGACCTAGATCCCTGGCTCCCTGTTTTGGCCCCAGTGGGATAACTCCGGTATTTTGCCTGCCCTTCTCCCATTCCTGGCCCTTCAGGCTTTGATCATGAGCACATGATATAGGGGGTGCTGGCTTAACAAGACGGTCTGCCAGCCGAGAAGGTTGGGCTTTAGAAATGTTCTCACAGCCTTGCTACTTGTGTGGTGCTTTTGCAGGTTAGAAAACTGTCGCCTTACAGAAGCCTGTTGCAAGGAGCTCTCTTCTGCTTTGATCGTCAACCAGAGGCTGACGCACCTGTGCTTGGCCAACAGCAACCTTGGGGATGGTGGGGTAAAACTTTTATGTGAGGGTCTGAGTCACCCTGACTGTCAGCTACAGAACCTGGTGTAAGTCTATGTTTACGCACACCTAGATTCAGGTAGGCCAGACAGGAGAGCACTTAATGATTCTACTTGAATGAAATTGGCAAGACCTTGGTACAAATTAGGGAAAGGACAGGTAGAAACAGATAGTAATATTCACAGGCCTTTCAGAGCAGGGTTTACCGTCTGGCCTCTTCCTATGTCCGAAATTTGGATTAGCCAGTGGTTCTCAGGTCTGATGTTTTGTGTGTACTTTTAAAGTTCACATAACCTACTTTCTTCCTACACCTGGTAACGGATTGAATTATGTGGTATGGTTCAATACTTTTTTTTTTCTGCAAAGGGCTAGGTGGTAAATATTTTAGGCTTTATGGACCATACAGTCTCTCTTGCTATTATTCAACTGTGCCATTGCTGAGTGAACCTGTAAGGAAATGAAGTGTGGTTGTGTTACACTAAAATTTTATTCACCAAAAACAGGCGGTGGGTTGGATTTGACCCCGTGGGCTGTAATTTGCTGATCCTTGTTATATGGGAAAAAAAACCAGCATAGAGTCCCCATTCCCATTAGAAGCATGGTTAGGATAACATTCAACAGACTGGGTAGAGTCGGAGGCTTCAGAATTTTTTTCTTGGCTTTGATTTCTCTGAGGTTCTTATTCTCCTGGGAAACTCATGTCTGCCCATTAGCTTTATGGGTTCTAGTTGGTTCTAGAAATTGTGTTAATATAGGATATCCTTTAATCCAGTTGTGCCTGGTCATTTAAGACTAAAAAGAGAAAACAAGTATTCAGCTTACAGTGGCAGATAAAGAAAATGAAAAGATCTAATGAATACTTTTTAGTTAGGACATACAAAGAACATAAAACTTCACCGGGCTTTCTATGTAGTGACATTGTATATTGAGAGTTAGCTTAGGCATCTAAACAAAAAATGTCAAAGGGCGCCTGGGTGGCTCAGTCAGTTAAGAGTCCGACTTCCACTCAGGTCATGATCTTACTGTTTGTGAGTTCAAGCCCCATGTCAGTCTCTGTGCTGACAGCTGAGAGCCTGGAGCCTGCTTCCGATTCTGTGTGCCCCTCTCTCTCTGCCCCTCCATGCTCATGCTCTCTCAAAAGTAAATAAATGTTAAAAAAAACTTTAAACAAAAAATTAAGTACTCACTGTGTGCGAGGGACTCTACTAAATTTTACAAAGTTTTTAAAAAAATTCTTATACCCTCATGAGATAGTTACCTTTATTTCAGATTTATTAGTTGGAAAACCACACTTAGCCACTTAGCTTACCTGTGGTCACATCTATGTGGTAGGTATGAAGCCCCCTCTAGAAAATGAAATGCCAACCATCATTGCTTAAAATACGTAGAGTTGATGTTGGACCGAGCCTCCACTTAGCCCACAAAACTTAATCTTATATTTTGTTTGAGTTCCCCTCCCTAAACTCCTCTGGTTCACTGATGACTTTAGGATTTCACATACTACAAAGAATGGTGTCTTTCGGTCTAGTTATCATCCCTGCACTTCAGGGTCCATTGCCTCATTGCAATCATGCCATTGTTGGGGCACAGGGCCGGGAGGGTTGACTGCAGACCCACCTGCCTAAGTGTCCCATGTGGCCACCCTTCTCTGTGTTCTGGCCTCTGAGCCAGAGGGCTTTGAGGAAGCCTAAGCTTGCAGGAAAGTCTGCAGTGTTTAAATGACAAACATAGTCACTCAAGTATCGGGAATGTGGAGCTTTTGCTGCACCACAATCCTGTTGGAATGATGTAAATAGAAGACATGAAAGAAAATCTCTCTCTCTCTACAGCGAGAGTGGAACCCTGGTGGCCTAACCGTGCAGAAAATAAATGGGACCTCAGATTCAGTCTTGGGTCTGTCTGACCCTAGAGCCTAAATTCTTGACCTCTAGGATATGCTGCTGTTCTAGGGAAATCTTTATCTTAGGTATGTCTGTGTCCGCCTAATAAAAGGTGGCAGACAAAGGTCAGTTTAACCTTCTGCTACCCAGGCAGTGTGTGTGTGGGGGGGCATGATGTAACATTCAGGTGCACGTTTTCACGTACAGGGCTAGATGAAAGACTATAGCTCACAGTAGAAGGTGTGTACTGTTGGCAGGAACAACCGCTTCGCAGAGTGTAAGTCAGAAGAATGCAATGGTCTTTGCAGGTTATCACATTCCAACATAACCAGACGTGGCTGCAGACGTCTCTCAAAGCTTCTCCAGGAAGACTCCGGCTTAACGAACCTGGATCTGGGGCTCAACCCCATAGCTACTGGATCGTGGTATCTCTGCGAGGCCTTGCAGAAGACAAATTGTAACCTAAGATGTCTAGGGTAGGTACTGTTGTTTGTTTTTGAAGGTGTTGTGGCGATGTATCATCTCTCTGAGGTATTTTAGAATGCAGACGGCAGTAGTGTCTCTCCTCCAGTTCAGGAGGTAAATCGCTGCAGAAATCGTAAGCACCCGGTTTGCTTGTATTCACAGTCATTCAGAGGGCCTGGAGAAGTCGGCTGGAATTGTGGACGGCCTCCAGCAGAGTGGGCTTCAGGGGCACACAGCTTCTGCTGGGATCCAGTGAGCAGGACACAGTGGGCCTGCCTCAGCTCAATGCCCAGGAGGCTGTGCATGGATACCGCCCCCAGGAGGTGCAGTGACTCCATCAACGCGATGGTAGGCTCTGCACCGCCTTTTCCCTTCCAAGTCTTGGCCAATGGCATCTCACTGGTGCAAAGTACTTTGCAACTAGAACCCTAATGGGAAGAGAATCTGGGTCATGTACTCTACTCTTGCAGAGATAACAAAGTACACTGGAATACACCCTGATTTTGTTTAATGTCTTGGCTGTACCTGGCTAAGTCTTTTTGTTTTTTCATTTTTTAAATGTTTTATTTATTTCTGAGAGAGAGATAGTATGAACAGGGGAGGGTCAGAGAGAGAGGTAGACACAGAATCCGAAGCAGGCTCCAGGCTCTGAGCTGTCAGCACAGAGCCCGAAGCGGGGCTCGAACCCGTGAACTGTGAGATCGTGACCTGAGCCAAATTTGGACTCTTAACTGACTAAGCCACCCAGGCGCCCCTGTACCTGGCTAAGTCTTAAAATTCTTGACGCCCAGGCTGCTTCCCAAAATTGATGAAATTTAGGGGAAGTAGAACCCAGCATCAAAGTCTTCAGAGATATTCCAGACGATTCCAGTTTTCACTAAGTTTGAGTTCCCTTGAATTAGACATTGGGGTAGAGGCTGAACAAACAAATCCAGTGTCCCCAAGTTAGGACTGATCTTTTTTTGATCATGGAACAAGGACCTGGCATCTTAGCAGAGGTATTGAACAGGAGCCCTGACCTCAAAATGTAGTTCAGATCCCATCTGATATTCATTGGCAGTGACTTCTGATGTTCCATTTCCCCCTTTACGGAATGCGTGATTCTATAGGATTCCTCCTCACAATGGCACACCTAATGCATTTATGGAGTTACTCTGTGGTCTCATCAACCTTGTGATAGGTTTCATGCAGCAGGTGCATGAATCTGTATTAATTACAGAGTCTCAGAGTGTTCTTTGTAGCCAAGCCTCTTCCTCTCTACCTTCATCTCAGGCTTTTCTCCCCACTCTGGGATGCATCTTCAACTGGCTTTTCAGTTTCCAGAACATATCCCATTCCTTCCCACTGCAAGGTCTTTGTTCTTACTTTTTGGTTTCCTTTTTTTTTTTTTTTTTTTTTTGAGTAGAGCACTCAGACCCTTCAGTTTGCCAATATTTCACTTCTCAGCTTAGCTATTATTGGGGACAACAAAGGAGCTTTGATCATTCGAGATCTCCTGGCTATCCTATCATAATACACTCTGTTCTCTATAAATTGTGCCATTTTCCTACCTGATCACTAGATATATAATTTTTTTTAAATGTTTATTTTTGAGAGAGTGTATGCACATGCGTGAGCAGGGTAGAGTCAGAGAGAGAATCTCAAGCAGTTCAGAGTTTGACATGGGGCTCGAACTCACAAACAGTAAGATCATACCTGAGCAGAAATAAAGAATCGGATGCTTAACTGACTGAGCCAGCCAGGTGCCCTATAAATTTTTTTAGTTTCTTTTTTTTTTTTAAGTGAAATCCACACAATATAAAATTAGCTATTTTAAAGTGCATAATTTGGTGGCTTTTGCTATACGTATAATCTGTTTTATCACCCCAAATGGGGACTCTAGACTCCTCAGCACCTACTTTCTGCCTCTATACCTATCTTGCTATTCATACCAATCCTCTATGTTCCATATAAATGGAGGCCTACATACGGTAAGTAGCCTTTTGTGTTGGGCTTCTTTCAGTGAGTATAATATTTTCAAGACTGATCTACACTGGACCAGGTATAAATTCTTTGTTCCTTTATATGGTGGAACAATATCCCATTGTAGGGATCTACCACAGTTTGTTAATCTGTTTATCCAGTGTAAGTTTTATTTCCGAAGGGAATGGGATTTATTTCTTGTATCTGCAGTGCTTATTATAGTTCCCCGGGGCAGCAGATGATGGTTAGCAATGTGGCATATAGATCTGCAGATGGTACAGAGCTCAAGGGCACATGGCTGAGGGGGAAGTCAGGCTTGAGTCAGCCCACTAGGCTCTCTATAAGCTAGTGTGAACTGTACCTACCATAAATGGTCCCACCCTCTGTTTCCTACTGGCAAAGGCATCTTTTAGTCTAGGAAGAGCTCTAGAACAAGGAGGTGAGGAATGGAGGTGATGTCAACATATCATGCATTGCCGAGTATAATTAACTCACTGTAAAGTCTAGGGAAAAACAGTCCATCTATTCACCAACTAGAAGGCTTCCATTCTCTTCTTCCTGCTTTCATTTCACATCTCATGTTCAGTTTGAGACCCCTCCTTCCAGACACCTAGCAGATAGCCGTCTACACTTCCATGGCTAATGCTCTCATTGCGGCCACCAACTCCCACGTGGAGTGTTGCATGGTCCCTGAGTTGGTCCTCGATTTCCTGAAGTTTGTTCTCAACCCATTACCCTGAAGTACATTTCAAGCTGCAAGCCAGACCATGGGCAGCTCTGTTTCAAAAGACTCAAAGGTTCCTTCCCTGTGCCACTTCAGGGTCTACAAGACCCTCCCCCAGCTTGGCATTCCACCTACACTGGCTTATGTCCGCCATAATGGCCCACTCCCTCCTTTTCACTTTTTGTCTCCTATCATCTTCCCAATGAGGGATTCACCAACCACCATAAAACTACCTAGTCCTTCCCTGGCCAATTCACCCTACTCCTGTTACTCTTGCTTCTCTACCACCATCCACTGTCTTCCACGTTCTGATAAAAGTCTGATGTCACTAAAATAAGCTCCGTGAAGAAAATACTTTTTTTCCTCCATTTCTTCACTACTCGGTCTCCAGCCAGCAATAAAGAGTGGATCTAGCAACACGGTAGGTTCTAAGTGAGAACTGACTGGGTCTCTGTGCTCTTTCCCCACAGGCTCTGTGGCTGCTCCATTACCTCTTCCTGTTGTCAGAGTCTTGTATCTGTGCTTCTCAGCGCTCAGAGGCTGGAAACTCTGGACCTGGGCCAGAATATCTTGGGGCAGTGTGGAATAACTGTGCTCTTTGAGGCTTTAAAACAGAATAACGGCCCCTTAAAGATACTCAGGTTGGAGATGGTTGAATCTATCATGGAAATCTAGAAGCTATTGAAGGATGTAAAAGACAGCAATCCAAACCTGACCATTGAATGCAGTGATGCCAGAGTCACCAGATCCCCACGGTGTGACTTTCTGTCTTTAATACCCTGAGATCCTTCTTAATGACTACATGTCTTGAAGGGGGCGATCTGATAGCTCTAAGACCCACCATGAATGAAAACCCGAGGGTCAAATGTTAATCACTGGGTCAAAATGTACAACTTAGTGCTGGCTTTTCCTCTCTGGTTTCCTCTCTCTGTGTAAATTCTGCACAAATCACCTACAGAGTTAATGTCACAATGTCTGTTATCTCACAAGGACACAAGCGTAATAAAAGGCTAAGAATTTTGTTTGAGGCTGTACTTATTAATATGCCTGAGACCTAACTTAGAGTTAACTTTATACTTGGTATACTTTTCTAGGAAGAAATATTACTAAGATCACAGATGGTTATGTTGGTTTCTTTCATGTTTCTGCCCTAGCTCAGATATTTCTTGGCTGAATTAAAATTTTTTAAATGTTTATTTATTTTAAGAGAGAGAGTACAAGCAGGGGAGGGGCAAGGGTGGGGAGAGAATCCCACGCAGGCTCTGTGCTGGCACAGAGCCTGACACAGGGATAGAACCCATGAACTGTGAGATCATGACCTGACCTGAAACTGAGAGTTAGACATTTAACGAACTGAGCCACCCAGGCACCTCTCTTGACCAAATTTCATAGATGCCTGATGAGTCTACATGATCATTTTGGTGTGTAGCCTCCTGGGACAGTTTTAGGATATTCTAACCCAGAAGCTGGTAATTTTTTTTCTGTAAAGAGCCAGATAGCTAATATGTTAGGCTTTTAAGTCATATGGTCACTCTCACAACGATTCCACTTTGCCATTGCAGTGTGAAAGCAGCTGAAGACAATTCATAAATGAATGAGTGTGACTGTGTTCCAATAAAAATTTAAAAATAGGCAATGGGCCATATTTGGCCCATCGGCAATAGTTTGCCAACCCTTGTTCTAATCTATCCTGTACTATGAAGTTCAAGTGTGACCACATCATTGTTTTTAGCCTTTGAGTGATTGTGTGTGTGTGTGTGTGTGTGTGTGTGTGTGTGTGTAATCCACTGCATTAGAAAACACCTAGACCAATGGAATAGAATAGAGAACTCAGAATTGGACCCACAAATATACAGCCAACTAATCTTTGACAAAGCAGGAAAAGAGTATCCAATGGAAAAAAGACAGCCTCTTTAACAGATGGTGCTGGGAGAACTGGACAGCAACGTGCAGAAGAATGAAACTAGATCATTTTCTCACACCATTCACAAAAATAAACTCAAAATGGATAAAGGACCTGAACGTGAGACAGGAAACCATCAAAATCCTAGAGGAGAAAGCAGGAAACAACCTCCTCGACCTCCACCGCAGCAACTTCCTACTTGACACATCCCCAAAAGCAAGGGAATCAAGAGCAAAAATAAACGATTGGGACCTCATCAAGATTAAAAGCTTCTGCACGGCAAAGGAACAATCCACAAAACTAATAGGCAACCAACGGAATGGGAAAAGATAGTTGCAAATGACATATCAGACAAAGGGTTAATATCCAAAATCTATAAGGAACTCACCAAACTCCACACCCAAAAAACAAACAACCCAGCGAAGAAATGGGCAGAAGATATGAACAGACACTTCTCCAAAGAGGACATCCATATGGCCAAAAGACACATGAAACGATGCTCAGCATCCCTCCTCATCAAGGAAATACAAATCAAAACCACACTGAGATACCACCTCACACCGGTCAGAGTGGCTAAAATGAGCAAATCAGAGAATGCTAGATGCTGGCGAGGATGTGGAGAAACGGGCACCCTCTTACACTGTTGGTGGGAATGCAAACTGGTGCAGCCCCTCAGGAAAACAGTATGGAGGTTCCTCAAAAAATTAACAATAGAACTCCCCTATGACCCAGCAATAGCACTGCTAGGGATTTACCCAAGGGATACGGGAGTGCGGATGCATAGGGGCACATGTACCCCAATGTTCATAGCAGCACTCTCAACAATAGCCAAAACATGGAAAGAGCCTAAGTGTCCATCCATGGACGAATGGATCAAGATCTGGTTTATCTATACCATGGAATACTACATGGCAATGAGAAACAATGAAATCTGGCCATGTGTAGCAACATGGATGGAACTTGAGGGTGTTACGCTGAGCGAAATAAGTCAGGCAGAGGACAGACACCATATGTTTGTATGTATAGGAGGATTAGGAGGAAGCTAACGGAGGACCGTGGGGGAGAAGAAGGGGGGAAATAGTTGGGGAGAGGGAGGGAGGCAAACCATGAGAGACTCTTGAATGCTGAGAACAAACTGAGGGCTGATGGGGGTCAGGGAGAGGGGAAGAGGGGGGTTGGGCATGGAGGAGGGCACTTGTTGGGATGAGCACTGGGTGTTATATGGAAACCAACTTGACAATAAACTATTAAAAAAAAAACACACCGCTTTCCCTGAGTTATCCACATCCTATTCCTGAAAACTCACAGAAAGGGTTGAAAGCTCATTCTCAAACTTTCTTTAAAAAAAAAAAATGCAAAATCACCATTTAGCACTAATTCCCAGGCAGTGACAAAAATGAGTGATCTCTAGTCTCCCATAATTTTTCTACCAAACTGAAAGTAGTCCTATCACATATCTCGAAGGAACGACAGCGCTGATATGGGGATGTTACAAAAACAGTAACCTATTGTTGGTGATTCAAGCTGCGAGTTTAAATAACACAGAACTGATTCCTTTGGATTTAGGATAACTTATTTCAGTGAAGTTTTCTTCCCCAACATTTTCATGTGATGGATCTATAAGAAAAAAACCCAATTCCAAATTTTTAGAGAAGACAAAAAGGTCTTTCTAGAACCTCATTCTTGAAGAATGATCGCCTTATGTAACTGAGGACTGACAGGTGGTGTCCTTCAGCATTTTGGAGGTGCCAGTTCACACTTTGCCCTTTACTGTTGCTGTTGGGATTTCTGCTCTTGGTCTAATTGCTGCTACTTTGTAGGTGATTATTCCTTTTATCCTGATTTCCTCTCTGCACACTGATTTTCCTTTTTAAACTTTAAAAAATGTGTATTAATTTTTGAGACAGAGCACAGCAGGGAAGGGTAGAGAAAGAGAAAAAGAGAAAGAGAGAGAGAGAGAGAGAGAGAGAATACCAAGCAGGCTCCATGCTGTCGGCACAGAGTCGGACACAGGGCTCGAACCCACAAACCATGAGATTATGACCTGAGCTGAAATCAGACGCTCAATCGACTGAGCCACCCAGGTGCCCTATACACATTGATATTTTTTGATATGGATTTCATTTTCTATTTTTTTATAATTTTATGCTGTAGGGATTCAGAATTTTGGAAAAAATTTCAGTTCAGCCTATGTTTCTTTATATATTGTCCCTCTTCCAAGTCTATATCATCTCCTCATTTCATCTTTTACTCTCTCTTGTGCATTTTTCTCTGTGCTATGTTGTTAGTTGAAAGTGAACTAGTCAGCCAGAAGTTAAAGTCCACAAATTAACACAGGATTGTTCTTACTATCTCATGGATGGAAGTAGTGTGGCATAAATTAGCCATTCGGTGGTACCAGGAAGGACCTGGGTTTTTTGTTTATTTGTTTTTATTTTGTTAAAAATTCTTAACATTTATTTATTATTGAGAGACAGAAAGAGACAGAACATGAGCATGGGAAGGGCAGAGAGAGGGGAGACACAGAATCTGAAGCAGGCTCCAGGCTCTGAGCTGTCAGCACAGAGGCTGATGTGGGGCTCGAACCCACAAACTGTGAGATCATGATCTGAGACAAAGTCAGACGCTCAACCGACCAAGTCACCCAGGAGCCCCTGTCTGTCTTTCTCAACTGTTCGGCATTACCATCTCAAGACAGATCTGCTCAAGTGCTCACGGTTGCTGTAGTACTTGGTGTTCCACTCACCAGATACTGGTTTGCCAGGCTTAGCATGACCTGTGTTTATTTGGGTGTGGACAGTCAAGGATTTCAGGAAATAGGCAGTAGAGGAATTACGGATGACTCACAGAAGTGATTACGTTATTGCAGACAGTGCCGAGTCAAAATCCAAGTTTACACTTGGATACAAGGCTGGTCTTCAGTAAAAACGTCTGCGTCAGACCCTGTGTTGGATACTGTGTATTTAAAACACATTTTTGCTGAAACTTTGCAGCAGTCCCCCAACTGCCCCCCAAAAGGTCCTATTATTTTACCTATTTATAAATAAACACAGTGAGTGGATTCAATGGTCTGATATGACATAGCATCTAAGAAGCAGACAGACTTGAAAACAACGTTCACTAGATTGTAAAGTTTGACTTCCTTTGTGCAGAAATTTAAGCCTTCAGGATTTGGGGGTAAAACAGCATAGAATTTTAGTGGTTCTCAGCAGGAGTGACTTTGCCACCCATGGGACAATGGGTAGTGTTTGCCAACACCTTGACTGTCACAACTAGGGGGTGCTCCAGGCACTAATGGGCAGAGCCCAGGGACGCTGCTGAGCACCGACAATGCACGGAATGGCCCCTGCAGCACAGAACGGTCCGGCTCAAAATCTCAGTAGTGCTAAAACTGAGACCTTCTGCGCGCTCTGCATTCATTACAACAGACTAAGTGTCCTCAACCAGCGGGTACGGGGCAGTGTCTGTAGACTTTGTTATTGTGATAAAATAAACACATCAAATCTACCACTGTTATCACTTAAAAGTGTACAATTTAGGGGCACCTGGGTGGCTCCGTCGGTTAAGCGTCCGATTTCAGCTCAGGTCATGCTCTCATGGTCTGTGAGTTCGAGCCCCGCATCGGGCTCTGCACTGACAGCTCGGAGCCTGGAGCCTGCTTCAGACTCTCTCTCGCTCAAAAATAAACAAACATAAACAACATTAGAAAAATAAAAGTGTACAATTCAGCAGCACTTAGTATATTCAACGCTGTGCAACCACCCCCAGCACCTAGTTTCAGAACGTTTTCATCACCGCACAAGGAAACCCCAAACCCACTAATGTGCTCTCTGTCCCTATCTATTTGACCATTACAGTTTATTTATTTATTTATTTTTGG